CAAAATATTCCAGGATTAAAACACTCCAAACTTTTGGTCAAACACCAACATTTCACCTCTTTTTTTTTTTTCCCCTTCCCAACCCCCCCCCCCCCAAACACGAGTCCAATTTTGCAATCCCGTTACCAAATTAATGGCTCTTTTAATTCGCTTTAATTAAAGGTTCCTGGTTTGGGGTTAACAGGAAGACAAACAAGCCAAGGACGTCCTCTGATGTTAAATTATCTCCTCACAAAATAACAGCTCAATTAGGAGGTGGGTTCAGCTCCTCCTTCCACCACGAGGACATGGAAGTTCATTAATTAAGTGGAATGTCGGGTGTAAAACAGAGAAGTGGTTTTTCTGCCCCTGCCGTTTTTAACGAGGGGACGAAGGGGGAGCTCGTTAATTTTATTTTTTACTTGATTGGTTGTTAATGATCAGCCCGAGGTCTGAGCACGTCCAACACTCAGCTGGTGCCCTCGGGGCGGGGAGGGAGTGGAGATGGAATCTCCAAAGGCTTCCAGGAGAAGGAGGAGGAGGAGGAGGAAAAGGATGGCATAGAAAAAAAATAAACACAAAACAAGAAAAAAAGAGGCTGAGGAGGAAACTGGGTTGAACCCCGGGTTAAAAGCACCAGGGGACATGAGGAAATGTGATTTTTAAATTTTTTTTTTAATGTCTGCAGTGATTTTTTGAGGGGAAGATGGTCAGTGGAGGCGGCAGCCACGGTATGAATTTATTTGATTTATTCATTTATTGATTGTTATTTATTTTTATTCTGTCAGGGCAGGGTTTGATCGGGGTCTGCAGAGGCCACAGAACGGCCTCTCTGTGGGGTTGGGGCTCGGGGACCTCCTCCCTTGCTCCCCCCAGGGGGGTAGAGAAGGAACTGAGAAGGTTCCCTTCGTCAAAGGCCCCTGATAAGGATCTTAATCCTATTCCATCCCATTTCACAGGAAGCTGGAGCTGATCCCAGGAGAGGTTTGGAAGGTGGTAAACAAGGTGATTTCGTGATTTCGTGTCCTACAAACCCAGCGGGTCCCGGCCCTGCCTCCCCCGGGGCGGTGTCACCACACCCGGCAGGGTCACCCCACCCAAAATGTCCTCATGGATCACCTGAGGTGGACTCTGAGCCGATAATTGTTCCAATCAAGGTCAGGTTTGGTGATCAATGGAATAAATCCCTCTCTGGGGGCGACGGGAAGCTCAGTTCCTGTCACCGGCTCCAGTGGGAGCGGCCACGGGACGAGGAGGTGGGTGGAGAACGGGGGAAGGCACATAAAAACCCCCAAAACTCTGATTATTCCAGACTGAACCTCCTGCCCAGGGAGGGAAAGGGAGGGCAAGGGAGAAGGGAAGGATCCAGGGAGAGCTTGGAGCCCCTTCCAGAGCTTAAAGGTGCTCCAGGAGAGCTGGAGAGGGACTGGGGACAAGGGCTGGAGGGACAGACACAGGGAATGGCTTCCCACTGCCAGAGGGCAGGATTAGATGGGATATTGGAAAGGAATTCCTGGCGGGGAGGCACTGACATGGAATTCAGGGTCGGGGGTGTGAGAGGCGTCTGGAGGACACCAACAGGGTCAGGTGTGTTTGGGCGGGGTCTGGAGGGCACCGACGGTTCAGGTGTATTGGGGTGGGGTCTGTAGGACACGGGCAGGTTCAGGTGTGTGAGAGGGGTCTGGAGGACATGGGCAGGGGCAGATGTGTTTGGGTGGGGTCTGGAGGTGTGGCAGTTTGAGCCACATTAGAAATCCAAAATCCAATTTCCAGGCTTCCCCCCACCCCTTCCCACAATTTATCCCATCACCGGAGAGAAACTTTCAGGCCAGAGGCTTCTATAGGGGAAAGGGGGAAGTGTATACATTTATTTACACAAATAAATATACTGCACAAACTAAAAGCAGCTCTATATATATAAATTACATTTCTGTCAGTCAGTCCTTTCAAGCTCTCCCTTTAACTTTAGTCCAGGAAAGAGCCTTTCAAGGCTGGAAAGTAACCAGTCCCTCTTGTGGGAATGTTCTGGACCTGAACGCTCCCCCCTCACCAAGCTCCAGTTGTTTGTTGCAGTCTCTCCTCCTCATGAAGTCCAAGAAAGTAGCTTTGAGTCCTTGCTCTTCTGCCGCTGTGTGATTTCTCCCTCTCAGTGTCTCACCTCGTTTCGTAGGCTGCTGCAGTGTAGTTCAGCTTATCAAGCGTTGTTGTGTCCTGGAAGGTTGATTCCTCCTTCAGGTTTTTGGCTGTCCTGCGTTTAGATCATGGCAGGGACATCCTCTGGGCGTCTCTCTCTCTCTCTCCGGGATCCGTCTTCAATTCTTGTCTGGGATTTCTTCCCTAGCAATCGAGCCTCCTCCGGCCCGTCCACTTGGCTCTGCTCCAGTGCTGAGCCTCACATCCACTCTCACTAAACAGGGAGAGGGAAAAAACCAGCCCTGCTCTGCAGCCTGGCTGCAAAGGCAGAGGGGGGGAAGGAAGAAGAAGAGGACCTGGCCGCAGGGCCTGCCTCTCTCTCTCTCTCTGGGGTCCATCTCCAATTCTTGCCTGGGATTTTCTCCCCAGGAATTGAGCCTCCTCCAGCCCGTCCACTTGGCTCTGCTCCAGTGCTGAGCCTCACATCCACTCTCACTAAACAGGGAGAGGGAAAACCAGCCCTGCTCTGCAGCTTGGCTGCAAGGGGAGGAAGGAAGAAGAGGACCTGGCCGCAGGGCCTGCCTCTCTCTCTCTCTCTGGGGTCCATCTCCAATTCTTGCCTGGGATTTTCTCCCCAGGAATCGAGCCTCCTCCAGCCCGTCCACTTGGCTCTGCTCCAGTGCTGAGCCTCACATCCACTCTCAGTAAAGAGCGAGAGGGAAAACCAGCCCTGCTCTGCAGCTTGGCTGCAAAGGTGGGGGGGAAGGAAGAAGAAGAGGGCCTGGCCGCAGGGCCTGCCTCTCTCTCTCTCTCTGGGGTCCATCTCCAATTCTTGTCTGGGATTTCTTCCCTAGCAATCGAGCCTCCTCCGGCCTGTCCACTTGGCTTTGCTTCAATGCTGAGCCTCATATCCACTCTCAGTAAAGAGCGAGAGGGAAAAAACCAGCCCTGCTCTGCAGCTTGGCTGCAAAGGTGGGGGGGAAGGAAGAAGAAGAGGACCTGGCCGCAGGGCCTGCCTCTCTCTCTCCCACTTACCGGTTTTTTGTGAGTCGCATCCCTCACAAACATGCACTCATTCAATGCTGTCTCCAACTCTGGCCTAGGCAGAGTTAGGGGGGCCTCAGGCCTCCCCTCTTCCCCCCCCGGAGGGGGAGAAGGAACCCAGACACCCCCTGGCCTTCAACACCTACACGCAGCAGACACCAACAGCAAAACAACCCAGACAGAACTGCCAGCAGGTTCCCGTGCTGTGATATGTGATTTTTGAGCAGAAGAGAACAACATGGATGGGGATCAGCTCTCCAGGGAACACTGCCCTGGCACCCAATCACCTCCGAGCCCCCCCAGCCTCTCAGGGGGGGCCAATTTCAAACCATGACAGGAGGTCACTGGCAGATTCAGGTGTGTTTGGGTGAGGTTTGGAGGACACCAACATGGTTCAGGTGTGTGAGAGCAGCACCTGGAGGACACTGAAGGTTCAGGTGTGTTTGGGTGAGGTCTGGAGGATCCTGAAGGTTCAGGTGTGTTTGGGTGAGGTCTGGAGGATCCTGAAGGTTCAGGTGTGTTTGGGTGGGGTCTGGAGGACACTGAAGGTTCAGGTGTGTTTGGGTGGGGTCTGGAGGACACCAACAAGGTTCAGGTGCGTGAGAGCAGCACCTGGAGGACACTGAAGGTTCAGGTGTGTTTGGGGGTGTCTGGGGGACATCAACAAGGTTCAGGTGTGTGAGAGCAGGACCTGGAGGACACTGGCAGGTTCAGGTGTATTTGGGTGGGGCCTGGAGGACACCAACAAGGTTCAGGTGTGTGAAGCAGGGCCTGGAGGACACTGAAGGTTCAGGTGTGTGAGAGCAGCACCTGGAGGACACTGAAGGTTCAGGTGTGTTTGGGTGAGGTCTGGAGGACATCAACAAGGTTCAGGTGTGTGAGAGCAGGGTCTGGAGGACACTGGCAGGTTCAGGTGTATTTGGGTGGGGTCTGGAGGACACCTGAAGGTTCAGGTGTGTGAGAGAGCAGGACCCTGTCCCTGGCACAGGCCCCAGACCCTCCAGTGGCATTTTTTGGCCACTCCCACCACACCTGCACCAGGTGAGTCCCCAGGCCGTGGGAGATGGAGACCTGATTCCACCCATGGTTCTAGTTAAGAGTGGGTATTGTCACGTCATGTCGTGTCATTCATGTCATGTCATGTCATGCTGTGTTATGTCATGTCATTCATGTCATGTCATTCATGTCGTGCTGTGTCATGTTGTGTCATGTCATGTCATTCCTGTCGTGTCATTCCTGCCATGCCACGCCACGCAGACTTTCACCCAACCCTGACGGGCGCCAGCAACGGAATTGGTCAGAAAACGCCGATTTTGGGGCCGCGAGTGCAAACCCTGAGGAACATCAACCTCATCCCACGCCCAGGGAAGAACCCGTGAGAGAGGAGGGAAGATGAAGATCAGAGAAATACCAGCACCCAGCTGCGGGGAGTGGGCCCAAGAAGGAGCAGGAAGAGGCAACACAGGTGATTCAAAGAAACCTTTGAACAATCTGAAAAGCACTTTTATTCCGACCAGGGAATGCAAAGGGGCAGATGTTTTCCCCAGTGCACTCCACTGAGCAAAGGAATACCTTAGCTTTTTATACAGTTCGAAAGTAGCAAGTTTAAAATTATCTACACACGCACTCTTTTTGCAGTCTGCCTTATCTAAACAGACACTTAGTTTTACCTCCTATTCTTACCATTATAGAGTAGTCACATAAAGTTTTATCATTTCGAACAGTTTCAGGTTCCCCACCCCTCTCTACCTGCTGAAAGGCCTTCCCTATTCTCTAAGCTATTTTATCTTGATTGCCCACAGTTTGGGCAGAAACTTTTAAGCAGTTTTACATTTTGCAAAGTCACACTTACACCGCTAAATAGCTAAATTTTCTTTCATATTCTATTTCGCAGGAAGCAGCGGAGGAGGAAGAGGAGGCGATGGAGGACAAGGAGGATGGGCAATAGGAATTGGAGGAACAGGAGAAGGAGGAGTAGGAGGAGCAGGAGGAGGAGTAGGAGGAGGAGGAGCAGGAGGAGCAGTAGGAGGAGGAGGAGAAGGAGGAGCAGGAGGATCAGGAGGAGGAGAAGGAGAAGGAGGAGGAGGAGGAGGCAACACAGGAAGCGGCAGAAGAGGAGGAAGAGGAGGCGATGGAGGACGAGGAGGATGTGCAATAGGAATTAGAGGAGCAGGACGAGGAGGAATAGGAGGAGCAGGAGGAACAGTAGGAGGAGGAGGAGCAGGAGGAGCAGCAGGAGGAGGAGGAAGAGGAGGAGCAGGAGGAGGAGGAGGAGGAAGAGGAGCAGGAGGAGGAGGAGGAAGAGGAGGATGTTGAATTGTAATGAGTAAATAATTGTCAATTCATAAATGGATCAATGGATCAACTGTAAACCGACAAATAAATTGTCTGAACCGCTCGAGTCAGAAGCTTTCCTTGTCGTGTTAATATTTGTTCTCCGTGGATAGAATTCTCCACTCACTGCGTGTCCCCACCAGGGATTCCCCAAGTTCCCCTTTAAAACCCACTGGTTTTATGGGTTCGAGGGACGAATCCCACAGAGGTCACGGAATTCAGACTCCACGTTGGCTGGGGGAGCCGCGGGCTCTGTTCTCATTTCCAGGGGATGTTTCCCCTCCCAGACTCCACCGGCACAGTTTGTTCTCGGCCCCACACTCGTGGGATGAGCTCGGGGCAAGATGGGATTGGGCTGAGCCTCCCTGAGCCCGGATGAAAACAAAAGGAACCAGTTCGTACCGTGTCGTTTGAAGGTTATTCTGCCACGTGGACGAGTGGTTGGATAAACCAGTCGTGGGCATTCATTTGCTCATTAAATCCCAGTAATAAATATGAATAAATACAGTATAATAATATATTATAAATCTAAACCAAATGGTATATAATTATATGTAATTATTATACATTTATATTTAATATATAATATATATTTATATTTATTATGTATTTATATTTAATATATAATATATGTTTATATTTATTATGCATTTATATTTAATATGTAATATATGTTTATATTTATTATGCATTTATATTTAATATGTAATATATATTTATATTTAATATGTATTTATATTTAATATATAATATATATTTATATTTATTATGTATTTATATTTAATATGTAATATATGTTTATATTTATTATGTATTTATATTTAATATGTAATATATGTTTATATTTATTATGCATTTATATTTAATATGTAATATATGTTTATATTTATTATGTAATATATA